TTTCTGCAATAGCTTGTGTAAACGAAGCAGCAGATTTATCTGATGCATATGCTTTACCAGTTTCAATTCCTTTTCTGGCATCAAGTTTTCGTTGCCAAACGTAATCCATAAATGGTCTTGAATTTTTAGCTAGGGCATGACAGTTGCTAAACAGTGTATTCAGGGTTTTGAAAGCTTTTGCATTCAGTTTTTCCATCGATTGCTCCGCTGGAGATTCCCGAGGTCTCATTTCCTTCGCTTTGTGAAATTCCACGGCCCTAGTATGACCAAATGACAGATGATGGGTTTAAAGAGACAACTGACACTGATGACTGAGAGTGATGACAATGTGATGGTTGACAATGACAGTTGACACAGGGATAATTGACAGTGACAACTGACACTGATGACTGAGAGTGATGCCTGACACAGGCATGACTGACAATGATGACTGACCATTAAAAATGGCACTTTCAGACTTACACAGGAATGATTGACAATGATGACTGACTGTCACAATCGACACACTGACAATTGACACCATGATTGACAGTGATGAATGCAATTGACAATCAACACTGTGATGACTGACAAGAATAAGGAGATTGAGGATTTCAGCAAGAAACCTATGACATACTACATAGTACTGTAGTTGTTTCCTTCAATGTAAGCAATACCTCAATGTTCAGACTCAAGTAGAAGTTCTGTCATCTGTCAATACCTTGCAGAATTAACCCATCCCTGAAACTGATAAATTTAAGGATATTATACTACTCCACTTTAGATTAGGATGTTATAATTCCTGGATACACATAACTGATTGTTACAGGTCAAATGTATATTAACACATATCTCACAAAACTGATTGTCCCTAAGATAAACTAAGTAATATATTATACTTCTAATACATGAGTACATGAATTCATGTTTTAAAAAAATAATCCAGAAATGTGTCTTCCATCTTTCACTAGTTCTGATTGCAATAGATCACGTAGATTTATTCTGATAAATGATGGGAAACTGTGCCGTACAGAAAATATATTACAACCAAACAATATATGGAGTGTGGTATTTGAAAGTCACATAAAAATTGCTGAATTTATAACTTCCATGGTAAATTATATATTTTTTTATTAAAAAAATAATAATTTAGCCAATGACATAAAAAACATTTTTCAAATGAAAAATATCTGTCACTTTTATAAAAGTCAAGCAGGCTGGGGACGAGCAACAAAGATACATCATGCCACACTTATATTGATTTATCCGACAGGTGGTTATTGATGACCATAAGCTGACAGCAAATATTATTACTTTCCTCATTGCTGACGCTACGGTAGTGTTTCTACAGAGTCACGCTTGACAAAATATGTGCTGATTGTGTTGCCGTAACAGCCAATCAACTGGCAACCTGTTATGAATACACTGGTATCATGCTGTATCAACCAGCTACAGCACTGAGATCAAACTGTTTTACGCCTCTTTTAGCAATATTCCAGCAATATCACGGCAGGGGACACCAGAAATGGGCTTCACACATTGTACCCATGTCAGGAATCGAACCCGGGTCTTTGGCATCACAAGCGAATGCCTTAACCACCAGGCTACCCCACCGCCCCTGAGATCAAAGACTGACTGAGTTTGGTTTCACGCCGCTTTTAGCAATATTCCAGCAATATCACGGCGGGGGACTGAGATCAAAGAAATGATTGAGCAAAGACTGAATAAGTAACATGTTACGCAGGTTTTAACAATATTCCAGCAATATTTTAGCAGAGGAGTAACAATTGGGCTTCACAAATTGTACCCATCTGGGGAATTGAACCAAGGTTTTCAGCATGACAAATATGCGCTTTAACCACTTGGTTACCCCAGTGCTCCGATGGAGTGAGAGAGAATATGGTTTTATGCCACTTTTAGCAATATTCCAGCAATATGATGTGGGGGACAGCAGAAATGGGCTCTTCAGCATCACGAGTGGATGCTTTAACCATATGGCTATCCGACTGAGCTAAGACAGCAGTTTGGTCAGAGAACTCATGTTGCCCCTTCATGTAATGATTACATTCCTGGGCCTCTATCCATACATATCTGCAGCAATACAACCTTGAACTATGAACTGTACTGGGGTCCCCAGCCTTTCTAATGATGCAACAGCATAGTAAAAAGCAGTATTTGAGATTACTTTCTTAATGTTGGGCATAAGGAGAGTGGAAAATGATGACACATGATGGCCACAATCCAGTGCAGTTGCACTGAAAGCATATCATAACTGACAAGTTGAGTCTCCCCAGGACAAGATCACTCCAACATTCAAAGAGGGAACAATTATAATTATGATTAGTGGGTTCACACAGGTAACAATTACCTGTCTGGGGACATCAGTGGGTTTGCACAGGTAACAAATACCTGTCTGGGGATATTAGTGGGTTCACACAGGTGACAAATACCTGTCTGTGGATATTAGTGGGTTCAGACAGGTAACAAATGCCTATCTGGGGATATTAGTGGGTTCACACAGGTGACAAATACCTGTCTGGGGATATTAATCAGTTCACACAGGTAACAAATACCTGTCTGTGGATATTAATCGGTTCAGACAGGCAACAAATACCTGTCTGTGGATATTAATCGGTCCACACAGGTAACAAGTACCTGTCTGGGGATATTAGTGGGATTACACAGGTAACAAGTACCTGTCTGGGGATATTAGTGGGATTACACAGGTAACAAGTACCTGTCTGAGGATATTAGTGGGATTACACAGGTAACAATTACCTGTCTGAGGATATTTGTGTGTTCACACAGGTGACAAGTCCCTGTCTGGGGATATTTGTGTGTTCACACAGGTAACAAGTACCTGTCTGGGGATATTAGTGGGATTACACAGGTAACAATTACCTGTCTGAGGATATTTGTGTGTTCACACAGGTGACAAGTCCCTGTCTGGGGATATTTGTGTGTTCACACAGGTGACAAGTACCTGTCTGGGGATATTAGTGGGATCACACAGGTAACAAGTACCTGTCTGGGGATATTAGTGGGATCACACAGGTAACAAGTACCTGTCTGGGGATATTAGTGGGATCACACAGGTGACAAGTACCTGTCTGGGGATATTAGTGGGATCACACAGGTAACAAGTACCTGTCTGGGGATATTAGTGGGATTACACAGGTAACAAGTACCTGTCTGGGGATATTAGTGGGATCACACAGGTGACAAGCGGAGAAACATTCCAGAGTTCATGACTGCCAAACTCGTTACCAACATAAATAGCATTATGAAAAATGGGTCCAGCAATCACATTTCCACCCCAACAAAGACAACAATGTATCTGTTTCGGTTGTTTTATTTCACCAGTCCCAGTAACAGTGGTCCCCAAACAAGGCCTGACGTAATGCACGACTGGCCCTTGTGGTAATCAATGATGAACATGAGACTTCCTCTCCTACAGGAAAAAACACAGGGAACACTCCTGAACACATACATTTCTGTAAAACTCATCAAGCTTGCACATTCCATTCAGAACCCTCAGATGTCCCTGTAGACTAACGGTTAGTCTCTGAATAAATAATTTGATAGAAACTAAAAAAATCCTTTTAAATTAAACAGAAGCCCCATTGAGATGGGAGATTCAGAACCTGAGGACATCTAGACTTGCTTCATTTACAGCTTCAGTATTGCAGAAAGGGTTGGGCGGATGAGAAAGTAATGTGGTTGAGGGACTGTGAGACAGACTAAGGTCCCTGTAACCAGTCATTAAGATGTAGCAGACCAACACACATGATTACACCACAAACACATCACCCAAGATTTATGATCACCATCATTCTGACAAATCTGAAGTTCTACAGGCTAGCTATTCTCGAAATGTTCGTAGCCCTATGAACTTCTTAAGCCCATTCTTAACACATTGGTTACAATCAAAGTTAAGAATTCTTAGGGCTACAAACGTTTCGTGAATAAGGGCCCAGCTCTGTATTTAGTGACTAGCTCCCATACAGCCAAATGTTATGTTCAACAAAGTCAACAGCACCTACTTCAAGCAATGTCTAAACTTGATAATGACGCTACTGATTTCAACTGAGATTTCTATTGATATTGCTGTTAGGATTCTGAAATCTTGACAAGGTAACAATTATATTTCCCAACTATACTTTATTCTTCATATTTAGTTTGAATTACTTTGCCCAAAAGAAAAATAACATTTAACGCATGGTGGTAGATAAACATACTCTGTTCCTGTTTAAACGGTTTTCAAGTTGGTTCAGTTAATCTATGTTTTTTGCCGTATTTTTTCAAGATTAATTTTCCCCACTCAAAAAACAAAATCCTAATGCTTTTATTGGCCAAAAATGTAAACTTACAGAAAAAGTTTTTTTCAGATTGTCTTTTGCCCCATATACACTTCATAAATTGACAAAAGTAAAATACTGTGAGTATTTAGAAGGAATATTACTTTGACTAGTGATTCCCCCCCATCCCCCCACCCCCACGCCTTTAGGTTTTCTGAGGGCAAAAAATCCATAAAACAAGAAATTAAATTGGTCTGGCCTAATGAATGAAAAACGGGCATGTTTCAACTTTCATATCGTACAGTGGTTATCAAGTGTCAGTAAGTATTCAGGGTATCGACCTCATATTGGTCCAGCTAAACTGCAGTCAGCAGGTTCATCGCCATTATTGGTAGGTATTCAAGTGTAGCCATGGTTACAGTTTGCAATGATGAGTAACATGGTAACAGACTGCACCATCTGTCACTATGAAGTCAGAGACAACTCTGGGAGCGGGATTATAGGAGATGACAAGACAGTATCGACTGTAAGTCAACACAGAAGACTATTTCAAGTAAACTGCTATCAACAACCTAAGAAATATATCCATTTGGCACTTTGTTAGAATCCTTAAAATAATTTGTACAGAAGTTGAAAATTTGCGTTCCAATACCAGTACAGTCACATAGGGCAAAATTACAGACCAATACATACTGACATTATTCCAAAGTAAAAACATTAACATAAAAACTATATTTTATTCTTACGAAGAGCAAATTGATGATTATGGTTTGGCCAATGTGTCGTCATATTAGCAGCAGTATCTTGGGAAATATTATAAATGAATACAAACTATTACCTTCATGTTTCCTGCCAGTACTTTCACTGACAGAAAATAACACCCGGTATTAGTCATATTTTAGTGTCAAACATGTATGCTATTATACAAGTGTATATGACATGACCTACATTAAATACAAATCCAATACCTTCAATAAGTTTATTAATTCTGAATTGTGAAGCAGCTGCTCTCCAGATTGCCCCAATAATCCACTGAGCCCTACAACCAAACAATGAACCTGAACAATATAAGCCAGATACATTTTGTTACACTGCCAAACATTCTGACTCATAAGACTTCCAATTTGCCCAAAGCTGTGACTATAATTAATTTTTAAACCACTATTTTGTGTTTCATAAAATCAATACATATGTTTTGGAGACATTAAAATTGAATAATGTTCAGGGAATTGACGAATTTATCAGAAACACATTTCTCAAATCTGGATCTCTGGACCTGATTAGTATCTTATAAACACCAAGTAGTTTTTGACAGTGACAATCTTTAGAAATACATCCAACAAATGACAGAAACTCAATGAAATATGAAATTCTCATATTCCAGCAGGAGATTAATAAATAGTGTGTTACCATGGTTACAGAAACCATTTTCAAAATGCCCTGAATTATCCATGCCATTTTCATCGCACAAATTAATAAACAAAGATTAACGATTAATCATGGACAAACAAAATATTTAAGAAAATAAGTGACACAATGCAACAACACTATCCAGTCTGTCCAGCCTGTAAAAATATAACAACCATTCGTCAGTTACACACTTTCTGCTTTTCGCCACTTCCGTAAGTAGTTAACAATGCCCAGAGCTCCTCCGATGCCAAAACGGACAAAGTTGTCACTGACCAGAGGTCCGAGGGCAAAAAGCCCTGGTTCATAGACGGATTCGTATGTGAAGGGGTTAATCTGAAATGGGTTGTGTTTACTGTCAATTTGCCAGTTTTGAACCACCCCCAAATTGCGCCCTCCGTTTGGCAAGAATGACAGGTCTGACCTCGACCCAATCATTACAACAACAATCGAGGTATCAAACGAGGAAATCGTGTCACCCTGTACTGACTGTATCAGAACTTTCTTGTCATACTTAATTTCCACAACCTTGTGTTTGGAATATGGTTTGTATAACTCAGTCTCTGTTTTGCCACGCATCATGGAGTGCACACGGTGATACTCAGGATACATGGGCACCGGCAGTTTCCTGAAGATCAGAGACGGATCATTCGGTCCACGACGGAACACATGAATCACCGGGATATTGTACTCAGTTGCCATGAGAATAGTGTCCGCTGCACTTAAACCGGCACCAATCACCAACACAGGGTCACACGATCCAGTCAGTTCCCCTGATTTCATGATCTTCTCGAAGTCTGGTAGGGAATGGACCACATGGGGCAAGGTCTCCCCTGTAATTGCAAGACGGTTTGGAATGTCGTATGTCCCAGTGGCCAGTATCACGTAATGAGACACAAAGCAAAACTCCTCCCTGATCGTGTTGCCATTGTCGAAGTCACAGTCTTCAGCAATTAGTCTGTAGCCTCGAACCTCCCACAAGTAACCATGATTCTTCTTGACGTTCTTACAACACGGTTCCACCTCCCCACTCTCACTGTCGGCACAGGCTCGAACCTGGAACACCTTCTGAACAGATGTTACAGTGTGATAGTCATAGAAATGGCGTTGCAGATTCTTTTCCTTCACGAACCGGAGTAATAATCTTTCACGTCTCCGACCGTGGCTCTCCCTGAGTGATTACCCGTATGTATAGATGAACTCTTGCGATTGGCCAGCCACTCTCGGAAGGGAACTGTGGGTAACTCCATCCAGTTGTTCTGGCTCACTGTTTGCATGCTGCCATCCATTCGCTGGAGGATAGAAATTATCTGAGTTAAAACTTTTCAAACATTTCAATGACACTCATTGAACACAAGGCAGAAAAATTCTAATAACAAACAGAAGAGTGAAACTGGTCTGTTATCTTAACAAGTTAGTTAGTTCTTCAACGTCGGACTCAGCAGTATTTCAGCTATATGGCTGATTCACAAGTTAGTGAATAATATCATTATCTTCTGGATGTACATGACTTAAACAAGTTAAAGAATGCATATCCACAAATTGAGGACTTGACAGATTAACTATGGTTACAATAGAAACTGTTTGATCCTAAAATTTTTGGAATATTATACATGGATGAATTTTTTTATAATAGATCTAAGCGTACCTGCCATGATCCCCCTGGACGGGTCTTGCCGAGAACTGCATGGGGTATTTCATACTGTTCTTCATGCTTCCAGTCCAAGACAGTGGAGTTATCTGCCCCTAGATCTGCTTCTGGGTGAGACAGGGCATCAAAGAGTAAGGCCACTGGGTTAGGGGATCTGCCCTCGAGACCCTCAGACAGAAACTCCAGGTCCTGAAACACACAGAATGATGATAACACAGAAAAAATAAAGAGCAAGTGATTCTGTGCCATTTGACTGAAACTATACCAACACACCCTAAAAAAGATGATGCCTACAAATACACAACTGTTTCTTGATTGGTTGATGAGATTATGGGCAGGGCTTTGATGAGAGAATGGGCAGGGCTTGATTTGCATCACCGTGCTAAAGGATGTCACAGATTTCACAACATTGTCTACAGTTTGGGCATATTAATGATCAAATGAAAAGTCTGTGAAGTTATTAGCTTTGATAAATCTATAAGTACTGATTTCCAGTACGACTGCAGTTGTAAACTGGAAAAATGATGCACACACTTTTGTAAATCCAGCACACAGATATTCACCTCGTCAATGCTTAAATATACAAGAGCAATACTACCACAGCTGTTGTAATTGAGTGAGTGAGTGAGTTTAGTTTTACACCACACTCAGCAATATTCTACCTGTATGGCGACAGTCTATAAATAATCAAGTTTGGACCAGACGATCCAGTGATCAACAGCATGAGCATCGATCCGCGCAATTGGGAACCGATGACATGTGTCAACCAAGTCAGCGGGCCTGACCACCCGATCCCATTAGTCGCCTCTTACGACAAGCATGGGTTACTGAAGATCAATTCTACCCCAGATCTTCACGGGTTCTGTTGTAATTGAGCCTAGAGACGAGCCACTATACCTGATCTACAATGGAGATGTCCTTAGCTTTCTGAAGCTTTCTGGTAAGAATGTCATTTGGATGTATTGCACCGTTGAAGAAAGGCCGGTTCCCCCGAGAGCATGAAGGACAGACTGATGGCTGACGGGCCATTTCCTGAAAGAAAGAAAAGATTATGAGTGAAACCATACACTGATGTGAGCACCAACTACGACGAGCCATGTGATTCTGATGCTGTGAACAAACACCTGAATGTCTCCTGCACGTGTTCTGATCCTTGCTTACTCTTTCCAGTAAACACTTCCACATACATAATCCCATTTTCACTCAAAATATTCATTCTCACTTGCATTTTTTTAGTTTTTTGCTTCAGCTGCTGCACATATTCCAACCTTCATTTTCGTTGGAATTTTTTCCACTTTCTGACGCGGTTATATAATATCAGCTCAAAGGGAAAAAGACACCACCAGTGACTAAGCATAAAGTGAGGATGCAACCTGAGTAGGACATGACCTGACATTGTTGCAGTCAGTTGAATTTAACTCTGACTATGGTCTCAACCTTGTCCAGCACAGCAGGGCAACAAGTGCCAACTAAATACCACGTATACAGCATTGCAAGGATACAAGTATAAGGTATACACCATGTATACAGCATTGCAAGGATACAAGTATAAGGTATACACTATGTATACAGCATTGCAAGGATACAAGTATAAGGTATACAACATTTCAAGGAAACTAGTGCAAGGTATACACCATGTATACAGCATTGCAAGGATACAAGTATAAGGTATACACCATGTATACAGCATTGCAAGGATACAAGTATAAGGTATACACCATGTATACAGCATTGCAAGGATACAAGTATAAGGTATACACCATGTATACAGCATTGCAAGGATACAAGTATAAGGTATACACCATGTATACAGCATTGCAAGGATACAAGTATAAGGTATACACCATGTATACAACATTGCAAGGATACAAGTATAAGGTATACACCATGTATACAGCATTTCAAGGATACAAGTATAAGGTATACACTATGTATACAGCATTTCAAGGATACAAGAGTATAAGGTATGCACTATGTATACAGCATTTCAAGGATACAAGTATAAGGTATACACCATGTATACAGCATTGCAAGGATACAAGTATAAGGTATACACCATGTATACAACATTGCAAGGATACAAGTATAAGGTATACACCATGTATACAGCATTGCAAGGATACAAGTATAAGGTATACACCACGTATACAACATTTCAAGGAAACTAGTGCACATATATGCACGTGACAATTCACATTCAGCATTACCGAGTGGCCCCTAGAACAACCATATAGAGCATGGCCTTTATAGGTGGGGAATATATACCAGTAACACGCCTATGTTCATAGTTCTAAAAAACAGGTGGAGTATACACTTGACAAAAACACGGCCATGGAAATAAACATCTCCTTATGAATTCCTCTCTCATATGACTAAGCACATTTTTGCACAGCATTCTTGCACTACCTGTAGTGAATAACTAGAACATTCTTGATGACTCAGTACAAATACAACCGAACACATTTACATCCACCCTCCTTCCCTTTAACCCGAGATAACCAATGTTCGCCGTGCATCATTAAACAGGACACTGCGATACGTCAGACCACAGCAGATGACGAGTGGTACCAAATGTATAGCGCAACTGAATGAGCGTTCCAGTGGATGGGTTTCATCAAAGCTCATGTTTTTTTCCCATAGCAGGGCCTCTGACCTATAAAGCTAAGTATGTACTTTTATGATATCACATGCAGATATCAACCTGCCTTGTCATACTATAGAACACTGCCATGATTAAAAACACTTACTCACATGCCAATTACAGACCATGCAATTCCATGTACAGCTATTTCAAATGACATTTGTTTCAAGGACAAAGAAAGATGGTAAATTTACATTTTTTCATTTTTGCATTGCTGAGTCAGAATGACTTGCATCTGCAGCGTTACTCAGCGTTCCACTCAACCCTGTAAGGTCATTAAACACACCCCAAAGTTACATGTCGGGTAATCAAGCATGTATCTCTGTCATTCACTCACTACAATTACTTCCACAAGGAAAGGAGATACCTTCCACAGGGATGGGCATCTCAAACTTTATATGTCTATTATTGAAACCTCTGCACCAACTAGCCAGGCAATACTTTCTTGTCATTGTTATATCAGCTAGGGTGGAGACAAAAATTAGAAAAAGACAAATACACTTGTTTAGGTCAATGTTTTTTTGTTTGGCAGTTTGATCACTGGATTGTCTGGTCCAGACTCGATTATTTACAGACGACTACCATATAGCTGGAATATTGCTGAGTGTGGCGTAAAACTAAACTCACTCCCTCATTTGGCAGTTTAGGGGTGTGCTTTCAGTTGGCTAAACAATCACTACAGCTCTAGAAAGTTGACTATTTTTACAGCAAATACAATACCAGAAATACCGGGATTTATCCATGCATCCAAACTGGTGTCCTCAGCAAGTTATATGGGGAAAATATTATCATTACACTCAAATTGGTCAGTAAAAAAAACAAATAACCCGTACAAAGCTATAACAAGATTTGGAAAATTTGTAATTCCAATTTGGACATATTTGTTGACCTTCACAGCAGACTAGTCATTCCTGGTATGCATGTTAACTTCACACAGTCCTGTGTATGACATTATGTTGGTTTGGTCAAGACTCGATTATTGACAGGTCATTGTCGTATCGGCATTTAACCACAAACAAACTTAAGATATTCCCAATACTGCCACACCATTATGTCTAACTCCTGCAGCCCGTAGGAAGAATGTTGAGTTAGTCCTAGTTCAGATGAGTAACGTTCTTGATGTATATAGCAAATACACACTGATGAAGAGGCATTCCATCAACCGACCAGTCTGCAACAGATTGTTGCCCTTAAGCTGCCCATTTTCCCATGTTTACATGCAAATAATTTACTAGACTGTGGAAGTGGCAACACACTTTCTCTGTTGCCATAGAAACCCTAATTACAGTGTAATATTCCAATCCATTACCACAACAGCTGGTGGAGGTTTTCTTTCATGTTGTTTCCAATTCTCTTAGATCTAATGTGGAAACATAACATTGTTTTTGTGCCTCTGCTGCTGACATAGGCTAGGTTCCACAGCTCCTAATCCATCTGAAGATCTGGGTTACTGGTAGGTCCATACTGGATTATTTACAGCAGTATTCAACAAACAAACAAACAAACAAAATTGAAACTCCATTGTTCTGTCTGGTACTAACAGTCTACAATGAATGAACATGCAAATAAATGTAAAACAACTTTACTGATGGTGACATGTTCCCCTGGAGTGGAATACTACACCCAGTGTAACACTGACTGTTCATTCAGTGAAGCCAGTCATACCTGCTTTTGTGATATATGCAGTAAATAAACACTGATAGCTCACTTCCCACATGTCGAGCTGCATGTCACACAGAATGGGAAGTGTGGAATGGCAAACACTGATCTGTTTATTGCATCATAAAGCTCAGTGCACAGCTTCTGCCTTTATATTATCCCAGGTATCAGCTGGCCATATTATCCCATGCTATATTACCCTTAAAGAGTACATGGCTATGCAACCCACAATATTTTTCCATATCAGTTATCAGATTAGTATATTACTCAATGTTAGGTGGTCCAGGCTATACTAACCCAGGCCATGTTATCCCAAGCTAGGTGGTACAGACTATACTAACCCAGGCCATGTTATCCCAAGCTAGGTGGTACAGGCTATACTAACCCAGGCCATGTTATCCCATGTTAGGTGGTACAGGCTATACTAACCCAGGCCATGTTATCCCAAGCTAGGTGGTACAGACTATACTAACCCAGGCCATATTATCCCATGCTAGGTGGTACAGGCTATACTAACCCAGGCCATGTTATCCCATGTTAGGTGGTACAGGCTATACAAACCCAGGCCATGTTATCCCATGCTAGGTAGGTGGTACAGGCTATACTAACCCAGGCCATGTTATCCCAAGCTAGGTGGTACAGGCTATACTAACCCAGGCCATGTTATCCCATGTTAGGTGGTACAGGCTATACTAACCCAGGCCATGTTATCCCATGTTAGGTGGTACAGGCTATACTAACCCAGGCCATGTTATCCCATGCTAGGTGGTACAGGCTATACTAACCCAGGCCATGTTATCCCATGCTAGGTGGTACAGGCTATACTAACCCAGGCCATGTTATCCCATGTTAGGTGGTACAGGCTATACAAACCCAGGCCATGTTATCCCAAGCTAGGTGGTACAGGCTATACTAACCCAGGCCATATTATCCCATGCTAGGTGGTACAGGCTATACTAACCCAGGCCATGTTATCCCATGCTAGGTGGTACAGGCTATACTAACCCAAGCCACGTTATCCCATGCCAGGTGGTACAGGCTATACTAACCCAGGCCATGTTATCCCATGCTAGGTGGTACAGGCTATACTAACCCAGGCCATATTATCCCATGCTAGGTGGTACAGGCTATACTAACCCAGGCCATATTATCCCATGCTAGGTGGTACAGACTATACTAACCCAGGCCATGTTATCCCATGTTAGGTGGTACAGGCTATACTAACCCAGGCCATGTTATCCCATGTTAGGTGGTACAGGCTATACTAACCCAGGCCATGTTATCCCAAGCTAGGTGGTACAGGCTATACTAACCCAGGCCATATTATCCCAAGCTAGGTGGTACAGACTATACTAACCCAGGCCATATTATCCCATGTTAGGTGGTACAGGCTATACTAACCCAGGCCATGTTATCCCATGTTAGGTGGTACAGGCTATACTAACCCAGGCCATGTTATCCCAAGCTAGGTGGTACAGGCTATACTAACCCAGGCCATATTATCCCATGCTAGGTGGTACAGGCTATACTTAACCCAGGCCATGTTATCCCAAGCTAGGTGGTACAGGCTATACTAACCCAGGCCATATTATCCCATGCTAGGTGGTACAGGCTATACTAACCCAGGCCATGTTATCCCATGCTAGGTGGTACAGGCTATACTAACCCAGGCCATGTTATCCCATGCTAGGTGGTACAGGCTATACTAACCCAGGCCATGTTATCCCAAGCTAGGTGGTACAGGCTATACTAACCCAGGCCATGTTATCCCATGTTAGGTGGTACAGGCTATACTAACCCAGGCCATGTTATCCCAAGCTAGGTGGTACAGGCTATACAAACCCAGGCCATGTTATCCCAAGCTAGGTGGTACAGGCTATACAAACCCAGGCCATGTTATCCCAAGCTAGGTGGTACAGACTATACTAACCCAGGCCATATTATCCCATGCTAGGTGGTACAGGCTATACTAACCCAGGCCATATTATCCCATGCTAGGTGGTACAGGCTATACTAACCAAGCCATATTATCCCATGTTTGGTGGTACAGGCTATACTAACCCCAGGCCATATTATCCCCATGTTTGGTGGTACCCAGGGCTATACTAACCCAAGCCATATTATCCCATGTTTGGTGGTACAGACTATACTAACCCAAGCCATATTGTCCCATGTTTGGTGGTACAGGATATATCTAACCCAAGGCCATGTTATCCCATGCTAGGTGGTACAGACTATACTAACCCAGGCCATATCATCCCATGCTAGGTGGTACAGGCTATACCAACCCATGCCATGTTATCCCATGCTAGGTGGTACAGGCTATACTAACCCAAGCCACGTTATCCCATGCCAGGTGGGTACTAACCCAGGCCATGTTATCCCATGCTAGGTGGTACAGGCTATACTAACCCAGGCCATATTATCCCATGCTAGGTGGTACAGGCTATACTAACCCAGGCCATATTATCCCATGCTAGGTGGTACAGGCTATACTAACCCAGGCCATGTTATCCCATGCTAGGTGGTACAGGCTATACTAACCCAGGCCATATTATCCCATGCTAGGTGGTACAGGCTATACTAACCCAGGCCATATTATCCCATGCTAGGTGGTACAGGCTATACTAACCCAGGCCATGTTATCCCAAGCTAGGTGGTACAGGCTATACTAACCCAGACAATATTAGCCCATGCTATGTGGTACAGGCTATCCTAATCCAGGCCATACTATTCCATCCCTTATCTAAAATCTAGATCCACAAATTCCATGAAACTGTTCACATTGAAGATGTACTAACTACACATAACCAGAGACCATATAACAGATCTTTTATATGGTCTCTGACATAGCCTAACCTTTAAGACATCTTGTTGACCGTAGGAAATAGTAGCTCCATATTAGGCCTGCTTATTTGAATCTACATAGGTCTGAACAGAGTACAATGTCAACACAAAAACACCGGTATAAAACTAAGCCTGTCATAAATCCAAGTCAACATGAACTAGTTAGATATCACCTCAAGCAATGCATGACAATTCCCTTGTTGTATGATCTACCTACCAAAACATTTACAAATGTGAAATAAAACTACTTCTGTTAACCACGTTTACACATATTTTAAGTAAAATGTGCTAACAAACTTCATACTTTTAATTGAAACATTATTTTATTTCCACTTCAACAACAACTTTAAAACTGTAAGAAGGCTTAACAAAAAGAGAGACGTTTCTAATTTTATATTCAACTGGTTTTGGAAACCATGTCATAAAAATCACTGGCCTTTTAGAAGCGCTGATTTGGTTTTGCAAACACATTACAATTTGTTTATTTAGTGTTTAATATTGCACTCTGTATTACAACAGTTAACTAAACATTATCAAGTCTGAACCAGATAATGTTGTGATTGACATAATAAGTGAAAGTCCATACCATCAGCATACACAGACACCAAACCTGACCACTGAATCCATTAAGCCTCTCTACAGACAAACATTGGTCCCCAGTGAAGCTCAGAACACCTACCAGGCCCACTCTTAATCTGTACCAGGATAACCACATGATCATTTCTAAACACAAAAATATATCCCTAGGACACAGTGAAGAGTTTGAATATCCATTGTGTTAAATCCATTATATTAATCCATTGTAAGCCCCCAAAATGGTTGGAAACTACTTTCAACAAGTTAAAAAGAACTATATGTTCACTGTTTGTCTATAAATGCAAAAAATGTCCAGACTTCCCCCACCACCCCCCATCCTAGAAAAATATACATTTGTTCGACTATACACACCTGAATTGGAAAAGAAATGCACATATCCTTGGCTTGAAAACTACACAGTGATGAACCTCATAACTACTGCATGAAAAAGTAAATAGTATGGGCCTTATGGCAGGAAGTGTTTATCATCGTCTCACTGATCATAGGCTTGCCCTGAAAATCAATATCATCAGAAATCAATACTGCAGTGTGTACGTACCAACAATGACGACATCCGTGTGGACAGCCCCATTGACACAGCAAGGCGAGGATGAGGTCATCTTGGTGCACGACTACCCACAATGCAGCAGCAGCAGCAGCAAAACCTCACCACGCAGCACCTACACTGTGGGCCCAACTGCAGCTGAAACAACCCAAACTGGCATAAGCTTTTGGAGAAAGTTCTAATGAGCACAGCACAAACTAATCAAACATTACAACTACAAGCGATGAGGATCCAATTACGTGACCCACCTTAAGATGAGTTGCAATTTTAATGGGGGTTTTGAAAGTGGGACACACTGTTAGCGATGAAAATACAAAGCAAACGTAAAATATTTATCAAATTACAAAGTATGTTTACAGTAGCTTTCCAACATAGCTGTAGTGTTACTAAAACCTTTTAAGAGATATAGGTGATAACTAGGTAATATAACAAGGTGATAACTAGGTAATATAACTAGGGTAATATAACTAGGTGATAACTAGGTAATATAACTAGGCGATAAAAAAAGATGAAGATCTTTCAAAGACAGAAAAGTTTTAAAACACATTACATCCTTCCAGTAGGAAAATGGTTTCCCACACCAAAACCAAAACAACTTTGCATGTCTCAGATTTTGACAAGATAACCTGCATCACTACCTGGCAAAAAATGACAGCCATGTTTCACAACAACCTCTATGATGACCATAACATACCCTTATGAAGGTCCCGTCATCCCCACTTCACATGGAAACATTGGCGACAAGACCGCTTGTAAAGTTTCAAGCCCATTAAGGTAGTCATAATGGCTTCAACCAACAATAACATGCATGTTTTATATATAAAAAAAATACATTGACCATGACCTTTGATCAACATGTTTTCCAAACAGGACTTCATTATTTCAAATGGTGGAACAACAAACTGAAACTTTATGACAGGTCAACAACATTTTGTTGCCAATATTTTGTGACCTTGACCAGTGATTGGTTTCAATTAATCAATATGTATGGTAAGCTAATCCACATGAATGGTACATAACCTCATTTGTTACACAAATATGTCTTGATGTTTTACCCTCTACCAGTGCTGTAGGCCATGGTGGCTACTCTTACATGAACACACATGAACATATCGTTGTGTTCCAGACATCGCTGACCGACTTTACTCACAGACATCCATGGAAGAAACGATAAACCCTTCCAAGGAGGAGCAATAAAATCTGGATCACTTTGAAAAGACGTATATCACTATTGGCCAAGGGGTCATGGATATAGGTCAAACTATTCACCGGATATCTCAATCATATTTTACCCACTGACAGTTGCTACCTTGTTTCATTTACTGCTTGTCTGTTTGTTGCGCTCAGTAATATTCCAGCTGTATGACTGTGGCCTAAAAATAATCAAGTCATGACCAAGTCCAGCGACTAAAATCATCACAGGTAGATGGATGAGGCTTTGTGTTTGTTTGTTTGCTATTTCACCCTTCAGGACCATACAATCCAGTGAGTCATTTTCTAAAAACATTCATGCCAGTGTAGTATTAGGACATGTTTTCAGACAAGTAACCAAGTCCAACCAGCCATTCTATTTCATCACCTCTTCCAACCAGAATACAGTATTGGGGACCTATCGTACCTGTTGTAACCAAGAATACCTACAGATATACATACTGTAGTAAATAAGTGAAAATGCCATGATTTAATGCACAAGAGGCCAAAGACGGTTAAATGGGTCCAACAGAACTAATATCTTTACAAATTGTCCCAAGTTTCTACATTTGATTAACAAAAATTGGTTAGCTTTTTCCTCTTCAGGTTGTTATTGCAGGTAAGTACAGAGAAAAACCATGTGGTTCTGTATTGTTTTTTGTTTGATTTAGAAACTGCGCAAATTGCATTGGCATATTCAATGTCAAATGAAAGTCACTCACCATTTCATGGAACTTGCACAATGAATTCACTTGGATCAAAATCTGATTTTCTTTTAAGTTTCTAGATTATTCTCTAATTACCAATATTTTGGTTGTCCATATTTGGTTCGAACATACCAAGAACTTAAAAACACTGAACAGTATGCCAAATTAAAATACCTTGCATGTATAGAATATAAATAGCACATAAACAGGGCTACAGATAAGGGGCGTACAGGCGTAATGCACGCCTAAAAATCAATGAAGTACGACATAATGTAAGACTTCAAGCGTATCATGTACGCACATAAATACCTTTGTACGACTAACATATCTGAAGTTTAATAGCTGAATATGTGTTGAATATTATAAATCACAAACCACAACACCAACTCGCTCACACAAAAACATGTCAGTACTCCTTCAAAATTCTCAGTACACCTCCACTTGCAATATTAGGTGTAAGTACAGCCACACCCCAAAAAGTTATCTGGAGCCCTGTATAAATGTATTTATAGTATAACTCACGTTTGCATTTAATTATAGAAACAGTATGTGTGTACATTTTAATCATAAAAGTATATATTTTAAATAAACATAAAAAGTGACCTAAGAATATGTTTAATTCAAAATCTGCCTTTTTAGAGTAATTTTAGACCAGCTGCATACTTGGCATGTTGGATGCGTGCCTAACAAGGTTGACATTATGACCAGGTCAGTCAGGTTATCAGACCCAGCTGTCGTCACGCTGACACATCCCACATAAGATGTCTGTCTTAGATATGAGAACAAGGACAGGTAGCAGTGTGGGAGTGGATGACGTGGTCAGTATTCCCGACACTGGGTGACTGGAGCATGTACTGACATGTATAAACAAACATGTACTTACATTTAAGGAACTCCAATACAGCTAGCGACTGTCCATATACTAACACAGGTTATAATCGTCGATATACTTGCACAGGTAATAATTGTCTATATACTAACCCTGCTAACAGCTGTACATACACTAACACTGCTAACAGCTGTCCATATACTAAACTGCTAACAGCTGTCCATATACTAACACAGGTAATAATGGTCTATATACTTGCACAGGTAATAATTGTCCATATACTAACCCTGCTAACAATTGTCCATATACTAAGACTGCTAACAACTGTCCATACACTAAGACTGCTAACAGCTGTCCATACACTAAGACTGCCAACAGCTGTACATACACTAAGACTGCTAACAGCTGTCCATACACTAAGACTGCTAACAATTGTCCATACACTAAGACTGCTAACAGCTGTCCATATACTAAGACTGCTAACAATTGTCCATACACCTAAGACTGCTAACAACTGTCCATATACTAACACAGCTAACAGCTGTCCATATACTAAGACTGCTAACAACTGTCCATATACTAACAAAGCTAACAACAGTCTGTGTACTAAAACTAATTTCACTGTACAAGAAGTGATAGGAAGGAGTCAGTTTGACAAGTAGATTGACAAGGCACAGGTGGCAGCTGTAAACTTCAGGGACTAACAAATGATTAACTTGTTTCACCTGAAAAGAATTTAACACTAAACAGATGACAAAGTATACGCAGTTGTATGGAAAACAACATCTTCATCCTTCGGTTATAGCGGCACTTAGCATTATTTTTCGACACCATTGTCATACGCCACAGTTATCAGATCTATCCTGAAACATTGCTATAATAGTATAACGCGGAATTTGTTATCTGTAAAAGTGTGGTTTTGTAATAATCATCTTTTTAATGCTTAAAGACAAATTCTTTACCGTCCAGAACAGACCATCAATCAATCTCTTTAGTTCACCGTAAGGTATTTTTTTCAAGAATGAATGTAAGTACACAGTGCAAAAGCTACTGAAACAGTGGAGATCCTGTTCATGGCGCCAACATGTGAGGACAAAACGTGATGACCGACGATCACAACTGCATCTTGCTTAAAAGGGGTGAACATCTAGTATCATCCCTAGCGTTGTGATTGGTTCCAGCCTCTGGTTGCTAAGGCTAAGAGCATTGTTTTAGGACTGTTAAATATTGAAATATATTACCTCATACCTGTCATCTCTCATGCATCTTACCTCAATGTCTCATTACCTCTTTAAACTCATGCATTATTGAAAACGTTTATAAACTAGCACCAAATGACATAAAATCTTTTTTTAAATAACCTAAACACCAATTTTTCTGGCAGGGCTTTGCTGTCTGGACCCTAGCTTCTCACTCATTGGAACTGTCAGAGGTTGACAGCTATTACCTTTAAAGGAGGAAAGATTGTATGAAATACCATTATTTGCACAAGTGCATTTTATCAATGCATGACTTAGTCAGTTGAAGTGCTGTGACATCACAATGTTTCAGTATTGAAATAATATCATGATCCGCTGTTCATGACATCAAAAGTTGATAAAACAAGAAGACAAAGTCATCAATATTCCCCGCAATGGCAAAATACTCTTCATGATTATGTCTACAAGTTATGATTATGTCAAATATTTAGGTGTGTATATAGAAAAGTGAAAGGAGAGTATTGAAAGGTTTTTTAAAGTTCTGATCCAGAAAGGAGCAATATCACCAATTTCAGTCTAAGTCAAACTTCTTGCCATGGAAATGCCAAAAATATTTTATTCAGAATTCCAAAACAACCAAAAGGCACCAGTACACCACCAGATCCATGTATGTGCCAAGTTTGGTGAAGAAATATTGAACGGTTTTAGAGTTCTGCTCCGGAAAAGACAAATGTACACGGACGGACGGACGGACGGACGCACGCACGGACGGAGCCCATTTTAATAAAACCTGCAAAACACGTTGAGGGGGATAACACTATCACTACAACAACAGGCTCACTTCAGGTCTATTGGGTAAATCTTGATGTTTCCGTTCACTTCATTGAGTAATATATAACATAAAGTACTAGAAACAGATTTAATTGTCTCTGATCAATGAATGCATTGTTGATGAGGGTACATACATTAAATGACTATAAATATGTCAAATCGAATTGATAATGAGTGTTTGAATAATCATGCACGCCTGCCTTCTCAAAAAAAATCAATGATTTTAACATATTCTCTGCTATTGTCAGAAGCCTCCGAATTACATAACATTTCAGCAAACCCATTCCCTCAAGAAATTTAATACCATAACACATCGGAACGCTTTTCCCTATTTTTATGAAAATATCATCTGGTGCAAGTCAAAACCACAAACCATGCATG